CTTGAAAGTGAGCGCGTGATGCCTTTCCCTTCGAACTATGCCACGTTCGGGTCGCAGTGAAATACGTAGAGGCCACTAGCCTTAGGTTTGGCTGGAGTGTGGGAGTTTTAAAAAGGCGCTGGACGACTTTCATGTTGCATGCTTTAGAAAGATGCATCTCCGGACGCCAACCAAGACTCGCTCGATCTTGTGATCTGCCGTAGCTTTGTGCCAACGACCTGTGGCTGGCCCGGCCAGTCAAGAGGGATACTTTCACTGCATGCTGATCTTAGTGCTGCGCCGGCTATGCCGTGATCATGATAGAGATTTTCAACTACTGCTATTCATCTTATACATTTATTCCTCATACTACTTATACTTTTAACGTTATTTGAACTCTTATCACTACCTCGATTCTTTTCATTACTCCCATTATTCTGAGAGATTTTTGAGATTGTTTGCGTCTTGCAGTTTTTTTTCCGTCTTAAGGGTATGAATTATAATTTGCGCTGTTTTAGGAGCTGGATGTCAGCCACGAAAGTAGCAGTTTTCATGACATCTTTTTCGCAATGTACTACTTATGTTAATTATCGTACGTCCAATTAGTATTCTGAGAGGCTTGGCTTTCTCTGGTTGTCATTCTCCCCTTGTTGTGGGACGAACTTCCCGAGGACGACACGAATACTGTCACCTGACATTAAAATTGGCTGCCATCATGCCACTTAGTTGCCACCTCGTCCTCCAGACTTTCTTTGGTATTTATTACAATTATCAATTAACGGTAATACACGTGCCGTTATTGCTGATGCAGTATTATATTTTATCTGTACACAATCGGGCGCTCAACTCAGTTTGAAACACATATTTTGAGACGCCAGTTCCGTTTGCATTTATTTATCCTCATTTGAATTCATTACTTATTGTATCAACACTACGCATTAATTAAAGCCCATAATTTTTTATTACCCAAACGCGTAAGCAAAGGGAATTATGTATTCCTAAATCGACCACCTCGTGCACTAAAACTTCTGTTTTGTTTTTGCAGTCAATTGCTCACTTTCAGTTTCCTGCTCCCATCACACATGCCTTCGCTCCGATCTTGTCGATCTGTGTTCCTTTCTAAGCTGGTCTTTATGTAACAGGCGACTGGCTACCGGCAGTGCAATGCATTGTCATCTGGTACATCCAAGGGGCCTTTTTGTCATTACTTTATTGGCTTCCTTGGGGTTCACTAACCCTTGAGTTGACTGAAGTTCATTCTAGAATTCTTCATCTAACTCGGTTCTAATAATAATCAACTTGGGAAACTGTCTAATGGAAATAATATGAAAATTATGTTGGAATGTCCGTGTATTGCACTTACTTGTTTGGGATTTCTCGTGAATCTATATTAATTCCTCTACCGGCTGGATTGTTTATCTATATCGTCATCTATTGGTCCAATATCGTGTTTTGCGGAATGGCCTGGTTACTATTTTGGTAAAATTTGCTATTCACTTCCTAACTGTTGTTTTTTCTCATTCCCCACACTTTCTTGGATCCTCTCTTTTGAATGGCATTATTGGTTATCGATTTTTCAATGAAAAAAACTTTATTGGGGCTCGTACCAACTAGGGAAAACATACACTATTACGACGAAGTCGGTGTTATGTTGTTTGTTTTTATGTAAAAATTTAAATTTTTTCGATTCACTGGCCTACAGAAGTACTCGTATATAAATACCAACATGTGTTCATGGAGCTCAAATCTTGTGCTTATATTGAAACCATACTAATCAATTAGATATTAGTTGGCCTCCCTCATTATTTTCTTGTAAATATCATACGGGCCTCGCGAGTTTCACATCTTGAATAGCTCAGCTATGCAGAGATGCAAAGGTACCTCGCACGAAGAAGTGGATAAGGATCGCGACAGAGGAGAGAAAATTCCTTTCCATCCACTTCATGTAATATGTTAATGAATACGGGCCCCAATTTTAATCATTTGGGTTGATGTTCACGATTGAAAAACATCATAAATATTAATGTAGCATTATTTGTTTGGAATTACATATAAAAATATTTTTCAGAACTTGAAATAATTTTGAAAATTTTAGCTCATGAAACATTCGAACACATCAATCTGAACTAATTTTTTATTGTGTACGAGCGATGAGAAGTTGTTTTCTTGCCCCCACATATGCAAACACTAATATAGCTCGACATCTGGTGTCTGGCTAGTGTGAACTGAGCGAATATATGTTATTGTACATCATGAGCGCTACACTAGGAACGTGAGGCTGAACAAAGCGTCTTCTGTCCCTGCCAGTTGAGCTCGAGTATGGGGGAAGGTATTTATGGGGAGTCTCTGCTGTAAGTGTTGCTAAAGTTGTTTTTAGATTTTCATTTTATAGTATTTCTTTTTATATACGTATTTTAACATTATTTTAGCCGCTTTGTGACGAACCGAACAAACCGAAATTTAATACACTTGAGATCAATAAAGGGAACAAGAGCTATAAAATGTATTGTATTTGATCTGTGTTGTTTGATATGGATTCCTCCGCCATTATATTCTAGTGACCTTTGACAAACAAAGTCTGAAAGAAGGACTGATCAATCGGCCTTTTTCGCAACTTATTAATCTAATTTTTATTCTTGTGCTGCAATATACCGGAATTTCCTTCCATGGTTTGTTACTGTCTATTCAATATTCGATAGCTTTCGCTGACTTATTAGTCTACACAACGCAATTTCTTAACCTAGTTGGCGTTTTCTAAGAGGAACAAACGCTTCATTGTTCAAACTCAAGTCAATATGCGACCCTTTTGCGTTCGCTGTCTCTGTGCAAGCGGGTGGCTTTTCTAAGGGAAGTATGTGAGTAGAGTCTGCGTTTATGAAATCAAGCGACAAATAATAAGAAGCACCTTTGTGACTACATTCTGCACTATTAAGAAAGTATGCGCATAATCGCGTTTTTGTTCATATTAGGGCCGCTTATCTGTTGCTTCCATTAGATTTTGAGAGGGAGTGTGAGAAGCATTGAAATTTGAGTTTATTTTGACTTATTACTATTTTGTTTCGTTTTTAATTCTCGACAATAATTTCGAACACAAGGCTAGTATTAAAAAGTCTTTACATCTAAGAATAGATAAGAGACCAAGTCTCATTATTCCAGGAATTCAATTATACAGAAAATTTACTTATGATTTTGGCTCCTTTGATTTCGAACGCTGATTCTCCTATGAATCTGAAGCCGTGCCGTAAACAATGGTTACTCGTCATTCTTGGCGGGCTGTGTTCATGGAGTGCACCCGGTCCGGATGCTCGAGTGTAAGCTTCGTGCTTTACGAGGACTTCCGGATCTGACCCGTGACAAGCAGATGCTCTCACAAACACGTCCGTCCGGGTCCACAATCGTATTAAGTCTCTCATTGGCATGAGAAAAGACGTATTAAGATGTTATTAAGACGTATTATTAAGACGTATGTCCCTGTATTATATACAGGGACAGCAGATCATGTGAGGCAGTAGAAGTGTTACAGCACCTTGTTATTGTCTTGAACTCGCTTCATGATTTCTTCTGTTTGGAAAAGTTAATAAAAGTTCATGTTGAGGGATAGAATATAATGACGTTGATCATAAATTTATTCTATTAGTAACCAAGCTATTGTGTGCCAAAGAGTCAAACTTTGTACAACAATAAAAAGTAATAATTCTGATTGAATTATTAAACATTCCTCAAAATTATCGTAGTGAAAAAACTAATATAATGTGAATTTATTTGTGGTACATGGCATGCATTGAGTTGTATTCGAATATTTGCAGAGCCTTGCTGCGACGTCAAACAACTTTCGCCGGTGCGCACTTGAAACGCTTTTACGGCGGGCTAAAGTGCATTCTGGTTACAGCCGTTAGCCAGCAGAACTTTTGGGATGTTTAACTTTACATAACCCACACGTTTGCTGCACCCTTCCCTGTTTTTAAGCATCTCAGTTGGCATATATTGGACCTTGCTAGTGTTTGCTTATTACATTCAAGTTTCATAACCTTTATGATACACGTATTACTTCCGGCTAGTTTAACTAACTTCCAGCATAGTTCTATCAGATGATTTTTAATTGTCAATAACATATTTTTAATTTTTCGCATAAAACATTGAGTCTATGTTGCCGGAATGTCCACCTCTTCGTCGTTTGGCGAGCTTTGCATGCGACCTGTGCTGTGAAAGTACCTGATGTCGCTGTTGGCTTTCTGCTGTTCTCATGCCCCGCGACAGATGGTTATTGTAAACATAATACCATCTCTAAAAACGTGAATTTCGAGCTTAGTCGCTGAGTAATATTTTGTTATTAACTCAGATTTAAATAGACTGGCTGATCTGAACTCTGATGACTTCTTCTTTCATTAAATGCGTTTTCAAAAAATTGTTTATTTGATCTAGTAGCCTAAGTGATCTCGCGGGTATTAACAATTATTTTATTCCTTGAGGACATGAGAATACAGATATTATCTGAAGCCGTGCATTAGAACTTGAGATCTAATACTTACCTTCTATGTGAGAAGTAAATTCAAAACAATGGCGTAATACCTGCCTAGTTATTCGTTAATTACGCATGTGATAACGTGAAGTTGTTAGAGTACTTCTCGTTCGAACGAGGGGGGTAATGCAATATTAATGAGATGCGCCAGGTCCAGTGATAGGTCGGGGGCGAAAGTAGGAAACGGTGAAAGTTATCGCCTTGTTCGGTGCGGCATCTCTACGGACTCTTGCAAGCTCTTGCTGCAGTCGTGTTGGATCTTAGCCACTCTCTCATGCCTGTGTTGTAATTATGTTGGAACTAACTTTAATTTCAATGCAAAGCGCCATCAACAGTTCCTAAATAAGTTGACTTCTAAAATGGCAGCTAAGGTTGGATGCGCAACAATTTCTGTGATAGCGTATGCGACTCTTAATTAAATAATCAGTTTTCCCCGAACTAATTATTGTTATTTCTATTACCAATACGGTGCAAAATTCAAATGTAATTTTTACTTTTGCAGTTGCCGTCATCTACGACATCATTGAGACCGCGATGGTGGGCGAGATGGCGCTGCTGCCGCCGAGATCCTCACTCGATCTGAGTGTCGGGGGGCAGCAAGTAACTGTCGATGACGGGGACCTACTTGCTCCACTCTCCAGTCCCCTCACGGTCAAGCCCCTCGATGGAGAGTGCATTTACGAGTGCATTGGTATCGTACCGTCCACCGTAACGCCGTCCACAGGAGCGAGTGTGTCCGTCCAAGAACTGAAAGCCAATTGGGAATTACCGCCTCCTCCGGACTGTGCTCCCCCGCCACCTCCTCCATTTACTAACACTTCCTCAGTACCTACCTCGTGGGATCCTCCATCTGCTCCTCACGATCCCTCTTTCTTCCCCGACCCTCCACCTCCGATCGCAAGCACATCGTCTTTCTCTACCCAAACGGACAAAACATCTTTCAAGAACAACTCAAAATCCAAACACAAAGCCAACGTTTCACAACCAACGAACATTACAAATGACAGATTGGCTGCAGAAGACGTGCCTGAAAAATTCCACCCGAATGGGGTAATAGTTGAGGATGGAGACTTGATGTGCGAAACTGGGAGGAGTCGGTCGGTGATGGGAGGGGATGAAGGGCTAGGGGAAGAAGAAGAGCCGATCGAGGAAGAGTTCGAGGAGGATGAGGAAGATGATGATGGGAGCTTCACTGTACACTTCGCACATCACGGCAGGAAGGAAAGTGAGTACGGTTTACTCGTAGAATCGTGTCCAATATTGAAAAAGTTGCAAGCATTACTCGTTGCCTAATCTTTTTTTTATCTACGGAATTGATAAAACTTACTTTAGTATTTAATTTCTTATCGTTGCCTCGTATTTGATCGTACCAAAGTGAGCACGAACATGTCTAAGTGAACTCTAAATCTCGTTTGTACCAATAAGAATGGACAGTATCTAGAATAACTGAAGCGGTGACGCCGCATCTAAAACAAGAGACCGCATGCATGCTGAACAAGTGAACTCATAATTTGGCAATGTGTAACAGCTTTGACACGTGCAGTGCACCAAATTAAATAAAACTTTGAGGAGCCGTTCCGAGTTCAAATGGTTTTGCCTTTATATAAATTTTTCGTATTGGACGCAGTATTGTAAGGAATCGAGTCAATGACATTCAGTCCTGCCTTCATTACTCAAAATTAAAATAAAGTACGAACGTGATTTGCAGTATCAATGCGTAAATGTTATCAAATCCCACGCACTTAAAATCATTTGTACGCCCGCATTTATTAACTCATGCTTAGAGATAACGCTGTCTGGTTAAACAGTTATCGCTGTGTCGTTCAGAAAGTAATTTTTTTCCAATTAGACAGAGATCATCGTATCAATGTCATTGAACAGGGACGTTTGACCCATCAACGTAACAATAAGGTATAAGTAGTTTTAGTAATAATGCAATGGAGCTGAAAGTGATACGCTTTGGTAGTTGTAATGTTTTTGTTTGGAAAGGAACTTGAAAACGGTCCAAATTATACTTGTTAGGCAAACACTCAAGTATTAAAATAACTCTAAGCGTAACGTACACATCTATTATTTGTATTTTGGTTTTTGTGTAGCGCATATAATGTTAGCATCAATTTTTATTTTCTGTATTAGTTAATTGAGCCGGTAACATTTTTATTATTGTTACCTTATTCTATATGTGTCATAAAGATTCTCTTGAAGTTTATGCTGTCAATTAATGTTGTGGAACTCTTAGAACCGTAGAAGAACCGACGTATTGACGGATGAGAGATGCTCTGTTCGTAACGGGAAAGATTGGATTTAATGGTTTAGTAGTGGCAGTTATCTGCCCTCGTTATAGCAATAGCAACTCCGTCACGACTGTTCTCGAACGTCGCGATTGTTTGCCTTGAAGAAATGTATTCTCTGTTAAATTGTTCTTATGTGATAAGCCTTTGCTAGAGATTGTTAAACTTTTTCACGACTTTTTACCGTTAATTACTTTTTTAAGACTTTTTGTGTTAATTATAACGATGGTCCAGTCGCTTTATAACAACAGCTATAAAAATTGATAAAATGTCACAAATACTCAAAGAATTTGCATTAATCACAGAAATAATACGGAAGGATGTATGGTTAGATTCAAACAACGTGCATCTCTGCAGCCTCAGATGCCCAGGCTTGTCACGACTCGTACCTGGTTCTCGCCCAGGCTACTCGTCTGAAGTAAAACCCGTCGCTCGCTGACCCCGCAATCTTTGCTTCTGTGATGCCCTGGGGCAGAGACAATAACCTCGCTCCGTTACCTTATAAAAAGCCCACTACACGAGAAGGAAAAATACGTCCTCTTCGCGGTCGGATCGCAGAAGAAAATGTCGCACTGCATGAGAACGGAATTGCTGGCATTAATACATGCAGGGCATGGGGGTTGCAAACTAAATTACGAGAGAATGCTGGCTTAATGTATGCACGACCGTTGGTGTGACCCTTGCTTGAATTTACATAGCTTGTTACTTGAAGCTGAACAGTATAGACTATTTTTTAAGGGCTCTCGAATTAAGTATACAGTCACGAGACAAGTTCACCAATAGGATTCGCCTTAAGTGAACTAGATGGGAGTAGTCTATTTAAAAAAAGAATGGATCTCAGTGATTTGATATTTTCGATCAAATCCGTTGAGCTCTGGCGCTTGTGTGGTCATTGGCACTTAAACGTGCAAGTGTACTCCGAATTTTAATTTTATATGTATATATATACTTTTAAAAACGACTATACGGAAACCTCAGCGATGTTTATGGCTGTTCTTAAATAGTTCTCATGAATCTTGTGATTGCGATCAAGGACGGTCTTGAGAGCCGACGCCGTAATGGTCCTATACCCAGGATGACGGCTGCTTATCAAGAGGAAATCAGCCTTTAAATGCAGACGTTAAGGATTCACTGGCACCACAAAACGCTTGGCAAGTTCCTAACAGGCAGTTACAACGAGCTCAACGAAAGCATTTCAGGTAGTCGAGTTGAAACGGTTCAACCTGCCAAAGCTTCGTGGTTCATCGAAATAGCTCAATTTATCTCTTATGATAATCATACATTTGCGACTTGCGGGTAGGTATTTCATCAACCGAGTTCTTCGTCAACTCAATTTAATATCTTTTGATGTGCGACTTCCTGAGAGTCGTTATTTCGTCTCAAGTAACACACAGCTCTTATGCATCCAAATTAATTAAATGTGATTACTGAGAATTACAACACATTATAATACAATTAATCCGTTCACTTTAAACTTCATCCAGTAACTTTTATACCTTATTACCTGAATACCACGTATTTCGTCGTAGGTAATTATACACTACCCAATAATTTTACATTGTAGCAATACTTGTACTCCTTATGTAAATGTCCAGGATTATCTCCCGACAGCATTTTATTAGCCTATTGATGACCTAGGAGATAAAGAATAGAATAGAAGTGTCGGCACTGAAGAAATAGGCCTATGGTCTGTTGCCGATTCTTGAATTTTTCGTGACTTGATTCAGAAGGGATCCAGCCTCTGGAACCCGATCTTTCCATATAACTGACGATTGATTATATGATACGATATCTGGTCTAGCGTTCGTTGTTCCACGACTCAGTTGAATGTTCCACACGATGCCCCATGATCGATGTACGTTTCAAATAACCATGTTGTATGAAGCTCGACGCAAATTTCAATAATTATTGACACAATGATGTATTCTCTATTCTTATTCAATTTCGATCATAAGAAGACATTCTTTGTAGGACTTACGGCGGAAATTCCTGGTTACGAGAAAAAGTTTTGACACATTAAGCAACGAAGCCTTTAGTCTGCATGGAGTCTACACAAATAATAAGAAAGTGTATTGTTTGTAAGGAAGCAATACAAAGAAGGCCAAGGCAGTCGCATTGTCTCTCTCATGACAACAGAGGCAGCGTGTTCTCCGACTCAGGATTGGCTCTCTTTTCAAACCTGCTGCCTGCTACTGCCGCGTTGCTGCCATTCCATCTAGGAACTTTTAAAAGCATTCATCAAATTTGGTTAACATGCTAGTGCGTAATAGATTGATTATTTTATTGGCTAGAAGAACTCAGAGAAAACTTCGAAAAAGCGAGACCACAGCCCAGATATACACGCACCCACAAAAATCTAGAAAAAGGCCAAAACAGCACAAGGGCAAAAATATATATACACATATGCGTGTTTCTATAAAAAAGAGAATATAAAAAGAAAAATATAGAAAAAAAAAAACAAAACACAACCAAAAGAGTTTAAATACATGACCAGCAGTTTTCAACTTTATTCGCCTCAACGCGTCTATATAAATGAATGTACAAACCTCATAGACTTCATTGTATAGCTCTAATAATAGAAGCCTCAGACCATAAATCTATCGCCGCATCTGAACCTAGGAATTCAACAGCTGAATGTACTGATCACAAGTCGCGGACTGGCTTTCTTTTCTCTTGTTGTTATGTGCGTGGGTGCCACATCCTCGACCGATGGTGTGCATCGCAATTAACATAACAGCCGAACATAGAAACAGCCTCACGAGAACGTCTTTCTCTGCGTAAAGCAGAAAAGAAAATCATCTGAATCTGATATAATTATTGCTGGAAAAATGCGACAAACGTTTCGCAATAATTATTTTATTTGCATCTGAAGCTCTTATGCTTTCTTATTTTGATATTTCAGAGTCGATCCGTACCATTGGCCTTTAATTTTAAACAAAATTCATCGCTTCAAAGTGAACAATATTGGTTTCTCTATTTCCGGCATATTTTCTGCTGAATAAAATAAAATACCGCCGTATTTCGTCGGTGCAAAATGTTACCCGTTGCGTGAACAGACACTTTTTTCCTGCAACCATTACAAAACAAGTACGCGGAAAAAAGACCTGAACAGAGAGGTCTTCGATCCGTCGTAATTGAGATGTGTGTGGTCTGCGAAATCTGACATGCATGGCGAAAACAAGACCGAGGTGATCATTCACATTAATTTGACGTCTTTAATGCTCAATTTTTTTATTTAAATTAACATATTCATCTTGTTGATAAGGCTGTTTTGAAACTTGTATGTTGATGACATCATTATGATCTTGCTTTAAATTTCGTCTCACTATTGTTCATGCTAACGCCACAACTCCAGTTACTGTCATGTGTTCATCAACTATTTTCTCTATGGAATAATGTTGGATGTAATGCGATCTCTTATTATACTCATTCTGAATCAACATTCAGATATTTGTGACTCCTACTTTTACGCATTCAACATTGTTCAGACATCGTATTGATTTTATGAATTTGGTTGACGTCGACGAGACATTGAAAAGAATCTAGCTTTACAATAATGAAATTTGTTTATCAAGCAATGGTCAATCAGCCTCTTTAATTCGAAGGGATACATAAATCCATCGCTTGTTAATGTTTTTTTTCATCCTGGTGTGCTCAATTAGCTTCTAAAATTCAAGGCTACGTATGATTCAATCCAAAAATAGTGATTTTTATCTTCGCTTGGTCAACAATCGCGTCGCGCTGCTCTGTTGAGGCGCGGCCAGCCGAGACGCGCCGCTGTCAGTGGCCGGTAAAATGGATACGGCAACGACGCGTCATTTCCGCTCCACGTGAGCAGGTGTGCGATGCGTACTGTACAAACAGCTTCTGATGTCCTAACGATCGCACCACACTGCTTTGTAAATGTAAAGATCCTCAAATGACGTTCGTAAAAAGTCTAAAGTTTTGTATTTCCCATTTTCATTAGAATCAATTTAAACATTTAAAGTCTAATTGAAATTG